CTCTGTTGGCCCAAGAATAATAATATATGCGCATGCGGTAATCCTCGCTTCTGAAACTCAATGGTATAAACAACTGCATTCAAAAATAATTTTTAAGCGTCAAAAATTAATCTCTCGGGTGCAAGTGTTGATGTAAAGTAGGAAAAATGAAGTTAGTGTATAGTACCTGCACGAACTATTCCAAAAAGTTGTTGCTTGTGCAGTTCTTTAATGAGCTTATTTAATTTCATATGGAAAACTCTGCAACATATATCCGGACGATCTTGAGGACTTAGATTTCTTTTTTCAAGAAATCGAGTGATTTCTGGCCACTTTGGATTGCATGTAAAAGTTAAGAATAAATCAGGATAGCCAGCCCATCGACATATTGCCATAGCATCTTGATAGTTCTGTATCATGTAACGTGCACCACCAACAAACGTTGACGGGAGAACTACTCTCTTACCTGTGGCCGAAGCATCAACGTCCCCATGGAGTAGTGAGTCTAAATAATCAAGCAAAAAAATTCCAAACCAACTCAAGCTATATAGAAAATACTCCCTCCGTCCACAAATTTTCTTCCCATTTTCCTTTTTCGTTCATCCAAAAATTTTCTTCCTGTTTCCTTTTTTGGCAAATTATTTTATACGGAGTACAAACTAAGCTAACTTAATTACTCTTCCAATAAAGAACACCAATAATCTAAGAACAAATATGAATCTAGACAGTTATTTACTCCCTCTGTCCCACAACTTCGAACTACGCGCAAAATCTCATCCCCTTTAAAATCATTTTAGTTACAAATTGGTATTGAAATAAAAGGTATAAATTACTTCATTCAAAAGTACATAAAAAGTTATACTCCCTCCGTTCTCAAAAACATTTCCTCTTTCATTTTTTCCACTTCCAACAAAACACTTCCCCTTTCTATTAAAAAACCATTTTACCCTTACTTTTTCCTACCCTACCTATCACATCATACTTTTTCTCTAATAATCTATCCATCATATCTTACTTTTACCCATCACATCAGGGGCAAAATTAGAAATCAACTATAATTTAACACTTCCTTATTTTTGCCCCCAAATCAAATGGGAAGGGTTTTTCCAAACGGAGATAATACATGACAAGAAGTGACAAAAATATTTTATGCTCTCAAATGATCAACAGAAGCATATAAACAAAAAATTTTTATCAAAAGGCCATAATAGTAAGAGGGCAATCATTTCGGGATGGAGGGAGTAGTAAATGTCTAATTCAAAGAAAATTAACTAATTTTTAAAGAGATCTTGGCAAAATCTAAACTCAATACTCAATGCCGGAAATTACTTTAACTTGCTCGGGATTTAGAAGTTCAACAATAATTTTGAACAATAAACCATAGTTAGAACGATGAAAGTAATCTAGAGTGTAAATTTTATATAAACCCAAACCAAAAAAATTACATAATTGCTCGGATACAATTCAATAAACCAAAATACTTGCTATAACTTTTGAAATTTCAGATTCATACCCAATTAGACGACGATGGGATAATGCGATGCAGCGACAATACGTTGGGGTCTTTAGAGCATTGGCAATGACAAGTCAAAAAATAAAATGTCACACGGAGATGTGAACATTTCAACCAATCAAAAAAAGTGCAGTTAGTGTGTGCCTAGTGGGTGTATTGGCATGTCATGCAATGACAAGTAATTATTTTTGTCATATTTTTACACTTTTGTGAATATTTTAATTATAAAAATTTATTTTACTTATTTTTTGTCATAAAAATATATGCACACCTTTTTTTAAAAAACCTTTTTTTATACAAATAAAAAAATAAAAAAAATAAAAAAAAGAAGGAAGAATGCCTCGCACAAGACATGCCTTGCATGGAGGAACGCACAAACTAAGCATGGCAAAATAGAGAAAGAACTTATGTGGCATGACGTGACCGGCATTTGTCTCACCATTGCCAATGCTCTTAAAGCTCCATTTGGAAGGAATGGTATATTTGATGCTTTATTGAACCTCTTGAATTGGAGCTCACCTCACCTTTTTTAAGGCCCAAATTGTACACTATTATTCATGTATCCATGCTAACTACTTTCTCCGTCCTTAAAAGATTGCTACATTTTGATTTTTATGTCAAGTTGTAGTACCCTTGACCATAAATTAAATATAGTTTAAAATAGTTAAATGTTATAAAAAATTGATATTAAAAACTATATTTTAAAATAAACTTAGTTTTTCTAAATTTAGATTATAACTAGATATACTCTTTTAGAGACGGAGGTAGTACTTATTTACGAGCAACCGAGTCTTTATTTTTGAATAACCGAATATTATATTTTTAGAAACTGAATACTCATTTTCGAATAACTGAATACTCGGTTTTTCTAAAATTCAATTATACTCGCCAATGAGTATTTCAGTTGCTCGAAGATAAATATTCAATTACTTGAAAATGAGTATTCGCTCAGTTACTCGAAAATGAGTATTCAAAAAGATGAACACGAAACATTATACGTCCGGATGTATGGTATAGGTACTTTATGCACATTAGGTGTTCGACTAATAGTACATAGACGTCGGCCTTCTTTTTATGAAGTTGTATAGAAAAGTAATCCTTTCGCACTTTTTAATACGTAATATAAAGTATTTGTATATATCTTGGAATAAAAATTGTGATATTTTTTCATGCTATTCCATTTTAAAAAATGAATACTTTGTAATATGTATAAGTATATAAATACATGACAATGGGACAAGACGGAGAAAATATTTGCGTGTTCGTTTCATATTTAAAATGATACGAAACGACTTCGAGATATTGTGATATTTTTCATGTTATCTCATTTAAATAAATAAATCCTCCATATTATATACGAGTACATAAGTACAGGACAATGTGACGAGATGTGAAAAAAATTGTGTCCATTTCATTTTAAAATGATTCGAAACGAGTTCGAGACAAAATTTTATTGTTCTTTATTAATATTACAAAATATTACAAGGATTGCATTGAAATATTCAGGGCGCTAAGGTGAAATGGAATATATAAGAGCCTGAGCAGTGGGCGAGGCATGAGCCTACATTTCCCTACAACGCTTGCCACGTCACCTCTTTTCTTCAATTGCCTCGCGAAGCTTCTCCGATCCTCCACGGAAAACGTGTGAGGCGCAAGTTATCCTTCTAGTTTTTTTAATTTTATTGTAGAAGAAAGAAGGTTTTAGAAAAGTAGTAGATCCATTTTTTAAAGATAAATGAATAATTTTTTATAATAATTAAAATACGGTAAAAAGTGTAAAAAAATACCCCATCCACTTACCACAAGTTGACTAAATTATTTTTGATTGGTTAAAATCTAATCCTCCGATCTTAAAAATATTTTCTGTTTTGATTATTTTTGGTTAAACAATGATACTCTTTGACCAAAAATTGTTTGAAAAGTATATTTAATTATGATATAAATTCAATATACTTGAGTTCATTTTAGGATATAAGTTTTGATTTATCAAATTTTATATCATTTATTTATTTAGATTATGTTTAATTTGTAATAAAAAATGTCACGTTTTAACTAAAAAAAATCAAAACATCAAATGTTTTTTTGGCCAGGGAGAGTATAGTATTCAATTTCTTTACTTAAGCTTGACATTTGGAATCTAACAGCAGTTCAAGGTTTTGATTTGTGACGGATAAAGCTTCTAAAACATTTGTTCAATAAAATTCATTTCTGCTAGAATTTGGTTGCCATCGAACCTCTTGCTGGAATCAAATGATTTTTACAAATCAGAGCTTTATAACGGGCTTTATGCGAGTGTTCTTCCCCTGTCCTCTTAGAGCGGTGGAAATGCCCTTGACGCCGGGGGGCGTCATGAGGCATTTAACGCCACACGCGCATTAAACACCGCCCCCTTCAGGCGTTAGGCCGGCGTCACTTCCCTGCATCAGAAGTTTGACGCGGCTCTCCCCTCCCCCAACGGCTAATTAAGCCGTTAACATTTTAAAAAAATTCTTTAATTATTTTTTTTATAAATATCAAACTCAATCCTTCAATCTTCTTCACATTTTTTTGTTCTTCAATCTCCAATTCTCAATCTTCTTCACGTCTTTCATTTCTTCAACTTTTGTTATCATGAATCCCCCGGCTCCGGTTTTTCCTCCGACGATCTCGAGCCTAATGAGCACGTCATGTGGATCTTCCAACAATACGAGAGTAATCCAACATTATTCGAAACACAACCATTGGCGTACCTCTATGAGTTGGAATTGGTTCCGGAGACTCAACCAGAACCATCGGGAACCAAAAAAGTACACGCCGAAAAATCACAAAGCGAAAGGCACTCAACCGATGACCGAGGCGGTACGGTCAATCCAGAAGTGGACGCTCGAGGAAGAGTGATTGTTGGCATCGGCTTGGGTTGACGTCTCCGAGCATCCTATCGTTGGTAAAAATTATGTGTTTTGTAATATATTTGTGTTCTTATTTATAGATTCGTGTTATATATTTGTGCTAAAAAATTTTGTTCAATTAAATACTTTTTTTTTAAGTTTCGGAGCATACGAAGGACGCGATGTGGGATCGTATCGAGGAGAAGTTCTTTGTGGCGATGAATAAGGACGTCTCGTACCGTACCCGGGACCAACTCACTTCCTACTGGGGCATCATCAACCGTAAAGTTCGAAAGTTTATCGGAGTTTACGAGGAATGCACTTGGTCCCAAAAGAGCAGGATGAACGACGTCGATGTTCTCCGGCTTGCCACAGCCCGGTATCAAGACGACGGGCACCAAGGCAAGGTGCGCATCAATCTTTTGGGAATTTTAAGCCGTTCACCGAAATGGCAACAACTCAATAATCCCGATGCCGGATCCTCAAAGAAAAGATCCTCTGCCGACGCCGAGGTTGATGACACTATTGGTTCGTCCGAACAAAGGCCTCCCTTCAACCTTGACGATTCTGATGATGAGGACCCCATTCCACGACCGATCGGAAGAAAGAAGGCAAAACCCATTGTTGGGTTTAGGAACTCGGGGCCTAGGAGACTAGGCGAATGAGTATCAAACTGAGTTGAGAGTGCACCAGTTGGGAATCAATTAGATTGTAAGTATAAGTGTGCTAGTTAAAACGTGTCCTCCCTTTCTCTCAAGAAAGGGTTTATATACAAACTACAGATGGGGTTCCCGACCGTTGGTCTAGAGCCCAACGAGTCGGGCCCACTAAGATTTGGTTGTTCACCAGTGGCGCCTAACCACATCATTATTCTTAGGGTGGCTATACAAAAAAGGTTACAAATAGGGTGGCTAAAACAACTGTCAGAGGTGTTGCAGGGGTCCAATCGTGGGCCCCTTGATTTGATCCATCAGTCAGCTCCCATGCCTACAGCACTGGCCCGCTGACCCCTCGGGCCGAGGCCGAGTATGCGTGATCTGCTTCCTGAAGTCTCCTGACGAAAGGCCGGCCAAGGGCGGTCCGAGGCCGAACGGGTTGCCGAGGCTGATCATGACTTGATGCGGTTGCAGCCTTCTCCAAACTTCAATTTTCCTCTTGTCCTCGCCCAGCTGGGTGGGCCTAGGCATGGTTGGGTTATGCCTCTTTTCTGTTGGACCGGATACCCCCACTCCAGGGTATCCATCACCCATTGCCTCGAGTTCTGGAGGGTCTGACTCTGTTTCTGTTTCTTCTCACGACGATATCGGTCAGGCAATGGTTGAACAAATTCGGGTGTTCAATATTCGAGAAGAAGAGAGGGCGAGAAGAAAGCAAGAGAAGAAAGAGATCAAAATTGTAACACCCTAATCCGTCCAGGTTTGCAACCCTTTTAGACTAAAGTATAAACTTGGTAATCGTAAAACTTTAAAACTTTTCAAACACTTTTATTTATCACAATAGTATTTTTCATAATATGTACAGTACAAAGTATTCAACAATATTGCAGAAGCGAATTTAAATACTATCATATCATAATAAATCATTTCAAGACTTGTCACAACCATCCCGACAATCTCGCCCCATCTGCCGCCAGGATCACATTGTTCTTTCTGTTTACCGGGGTGTAGAAATAAAACAAACCTACACGCTGAGCGTTGAAGCTGAGTAAGCATATCTAATGCGGTTAACATCCATATAAACTGAATCTAAATTCATAATCAAATCATTTGATATCATGCACATAATGTTCAATTCAGACATTCACAGTTTTGATATTGTTCAGTTCATATCAACATATTTTATTCAATTCAGATATTATTTTGATAGTGCTCTTAAATTATTCTTAATCTAAGGCCAAATAATAATAACGCTCTTAGTTATTCTTAGTCTAAGGCTAGATCATAATAATGCTCTTAGCTATTCTTAGTCTAAGGCCAAAATCATAATTTTCATAACCAGACTCTCAAACTATGGCTAGTTTAAGGCCATTAACCAGACTCTTAAAAAGGCAATTAATAATCAGACATTTAAACTATCATTAGTTTAAGGCAATTGATTTCGGACTCTTAACTGTAGTCAGTTAAGGCAATAATAGTATAGCGACTGATCAACGTCAGATCGAGGCATTCCCAAACGAGTGATCTTCTAGTTTGGTCTACGAATCCCGTTTATGCGTTTTTATCTAATTCATTAAATATTCATGTTTTCATAAGTCCATTCTAACACGAGATCTATTCTAGAGGTCTTCTAGATAGCCTTAACATCAATTAACTAAATGGGTATATCTTAGAGTTCTTCTAGATAATCTTAACAATACAAATCGTTTCATAATTATCAATGTATTCATTTTACTCGTGGTTCAATCTTCAATAATCATTTTAATCAGTAGGTTCATCATTCATAATCATCCATAATAATCATTTATCATACTCATCAATCATCATATCAACCGATAGCAAATAGCGGCCTAGCTTGGAGTGTTAACACCCTAGCTTACCGTCATGCATCACATAAGACTTTATTTGCTAAAAACATCATTTTCATTGTGAAAAATCATCTTTATATTGTTCATAATTTCTGGTATCAAAAATAAGATTTCATAGTTCAAAAATCAAGTTTTCCGAACAATAATCGATTAATATATGATAGGAAAATCGATTAATAGCAAGTGACTTCATTTTCTTCAGGAGGGTAGGGTGATAATCGATTATCATAGGTGAAAATCGATTATCTGACTTCCAGAAAAGGGTGATAATTGATTGTCTGTTACTTTTTTTTAGAGCATGCTGATAATTGAATGTTAGAAATGACAATCGATTGTTGATAAACGATTATTTGCTTAAAATAATCGATTATTGTGCTGCAGTGTTCAATATTTATGCAGAACAAGCTGTAATCAAGTTTTAAGTCAATAATCGATTATTCATCGTCTTCTACCTCGAGTCAACTTACAGATATGTCATTTTTAGTCACCAAACTTCAATTAAAGTATATAGAAATGTTCTCCAAGATTCATAGATCATTTTGGTAACATGATTTCATAATTTTAACAATAATTTCATAGTTTATGATTCTTGGTTCTTCAAGCATGTCAAACACAACACTCAACCAAATGACCGTTTATGAACGTAGAAACGACCTATATGATCATTCTAGTCACTAGATATATCTACGGGCTTATCTCGAAGCTTATCGAAAGTTTTGATAATTACCAACTCCAGCGAGCTCTCACCAAATTGACAGCACCACTGTGTTCTCCTCACTCAGAGCAACAAAATAGGAAGAAATATTTTGAGGAATGGTGAAGAAATGGGAGAGAAGTGTCTCCCTTATATAGTGAGAAAGAAGAGGAAATGGCCAAGGTTGTCACTGCTAAATCCTCCTTCGGTGATTCTACTTAGTGCGCTGGGAGGCCCAGTCTCCATAGGGTCCCTGATTGGGACCAATTTTGATTCCAGTCGGGGTACACTTTTTGGTACAACTTTCTCCGAATTGAAATCCGTTTGCACCGTTGCGATCAGAAAGTCGAACTCTATCCAACAATATAATATTTATATTTATTTGTAATACTTTTTCCGACATCATATTTTTGGGTGTTTGACTTTGACAGAGTCAAAATTGGTTTAATTGACCTTTACTAAAAAAAGTTCTCATATTTAATTTATATTAATTATTCTCATGATTTATTTCAATAAATTATTTCAAAGTTCATATCATACCAATTTCTTCATTTATCCTTGATTTGGGTCTGTACTCTGGTTTCCAATCAAGGTCACACAATAAAGTCAACATATTAGATTTATCTCTATGAGATTTATCTAGATTATAATATTGAATATCAAAACATATTTTATTTTGGCTCAAAGCCCAAGAATTATTTATTTTAATAAAAACTAATTTGATCATTAATAATTCTAGGGTATGTTTTGGGGCGTTACAGAAATAATGGAAACCAACCTTGATACGTTATTGGGCTTCAAACGTATGATAGTCGAGAGAAGACAAAAAGAGATCAAGGCTAAATATAATTTACCTTAGTTTTTTATTAATGTATTTTTTTAAATTTATTGCCGCTTTAATTTTTTTAAATCTAATGAATGTAATTTTTTTAAAAAAATTATTGTCGCTTTAATTTTTTTTAATTTAATGAATGTAATATTTTTTGAATTATTCTCGTTTCAATTTAATTAAATAATGAAATAATTAAATTTTATTAATTTAGTTTTAGAAGATATTTATTTTAAAAAAATGAAGGTTTGAAACCCCTATTTGAAACGTCGGAGTTTCAAACCTATTTCAAGTGAATCTGTGAGATAAATTAAAGAGGGACAAACTTTGAAGCCCTGTGTGGGGCTTGATTAGTATTTCCAATTCCCTTAGCACGGACTACAATAATTCCTAGTACGGGTGGGCAAAAAAACCGAACCAGCATGGTATCATACCGAACCGTAATAGTACCGAACCGTTTATAGTATTTTTAAACGAGATTGATTTTTTTCATCACGAACCAAAACCGAACCGATATCAAACAGGATGGGACCGTGATACAAATATTTAAAACCGATTATCACGGACTGAACCGTTTAACCGTTTAAAGCTATATAAGGAGTATTTCAAATAATTATTTGTCTACTTTATCTTACCGCATATGGAGTACTTTGTATGATATTATTTATTTTTAAAATTCTTTCGTTAATATTGTTGAAGTTATATTTATTACTACTATTACCATTATTTTTTAGAGTTATTAATAGTCTGATACTGTATGAATTGAAAAAAAAATCTATTTTAAAAAATTAAACTCGTGATCTTTTAGTTTTATGTTTATAATCCTTTTAAATTCGAAATCAATACTTCTATTAAACAAAGCTGTGCTTTTATATACTCCCTCCGTCCCGAATTATTTGTCACATTTCTATTACCGAGGCAAAATATTAAGTTTTTTCAATTCATTTTATTTACATATTGGTAAAGAAATAAAAAATAAAAATTACATATCAAAAAACTACATGAAAAGCTCTTCGAAATAAGAGGTGTCAAGAATATTTTATTTTATTTTATCAAATAACCAATAAAAACGTAGAAATAAACAAAAGTTCCCGCGACTGTTGAAAAAGCAAATGTGGCAAATAATTTAGGACGGAGGGAGTACAAAATTATGCTTTTATTTTAATATTTTTTTAGTGATGCATGTTCATTTTTTTTGGCACGGTTTGAACATGGTTATGGCATGGTACCGTTCCGTTTCGAAACGGAGTGGTACCCAATAGTTTTAGAGTTAATAGTTCATACCCTATCCATAGTGAACCGTCGTTTATATAAGAGCTTGATAGATTCGGGTGATATCAAGGACGTCACGGACCCGGCCCACCCCTAATCCCTAGGGCCTTTTTGTCTTCGACGGGTGGGTGGTGATGTCCAGGGGCGGAACCAGGGGAGGGGCCGCCGGGGCAAGTGCCCCCCCCGATGAACTTCCGGTGAAGAGAGGATGATCACCTGTTGAAGTCTCTGATGATGAAAGTGCCCCCCACAACGAAGACGACGGCCTGCAAGGGTTTGCTACTTTCCAGGATTTAATGTGTTATATTTTGGAATGTTTATATTTTAAAAAAATGAAACAAAACGACGCCGTATTGATTAGGAATCTAAACCCTTATTGGTTTCTTTTCTTTTTGTTGACTCACCGTCTACCCAAATATTTGTTGACTAATTTTTAGGTGTTATCCAAAGCTTTGTTTGCTAATCCATATTTGGTGATGATTATGGGATGCTTTTTACTACCGAGTATTTAAGTATCAGATTATGATACTTGATGCTTATTACTATAAAACTAANGATTAGGAATCTAAACCCTTATTGGTTTCTTTTCTTTTTGTTGACTCACCGTCTACCCAAATATTTGTTGACTAATTTTTAGGTGTTATCCAAAGCTTTGTTTGCTAATCCATATTTGGTGATGATTATGGGATGCTTTTTACTACCGAGTATTTAAGTATCAGATTATGATACTTGATGCTTATTACTATAAAACTAATTTGTTATCTGTTAAATTGAAATTCGGGTTTAATTTTTTAAAGTCAAGACTTTGAAAAAATTTAAATTAGCATATGCAATAATAAATTAAATAATACTCTCTTTGTCCCAAAATTATCTTCTTTCTTAACTATTCTGAAATCACAGAAATTTTTGTTTATTTGTATGTTTTCATTAATTATTTAATAAAATAAAATATTTTTGTAACCACTCATTTTGTAAAAGATTTGACGTACTCCGTAGTTTTTGAACATGTAAGTTAGATTTTTATTTACGTATCGATCTTTAAATAAAATAAATTGAAAAATTTTTAAATCTTACTTTGTTTTGTGAGCTATCATTTTTGGTTATTTTTTGGCATAATTCGAATAACATTTGTTTGTAATTTCATTTAAAAAAATATGACGCTATCCTCCAACCCCATAGTGTATTATTGTGCCCCTCAAAGGTCCGCCCCTGGCTCCGCCACTGGTGATGTCAGATGTACAAAGTGCGGTCTCTGGTCTGGGGTGATGATGGGGGCACAAGAAGCTCATGTCATGGCGAAGAGGATGAAGAACACACTCCCCTGCCAACAAGGAATGGGTAATCTCATCAGCCAATTTGCATTTCTTGAATGACATTGCTTAGGTTACTAGTTTTAACTCGTACTGCCCCGGATTCGTTCTTGATTCATTTAAGTTATAAAAAACTCAAGTGAAAATTTGTCTACCCAAGCAAAGCAAAGCATGAAACGATCACTGTGTCTACTCCAGCAACTTCCTGCTGCGGGTCGTTATTGTTCATCCGCTAATCTCTTAGGCTTCCAACCCTCCAAAATGGCTAGATTACCCCCTACCCATTTGATAGAATCATCGGTAGAACACACTGAACCTGTCCAAATTAACACTCGAATTATAGATAGAGACACGCCCTTTAGCCACTCATCCTTCACGAAGCTTCTGGACACTTCTCTTCCATCTCGGGGTTTTGGCATATCCGCCTTTCTCTTTGATCAGTTTGGTCATCTCATTGATGTTGAGAACTACAACTGCATTATCAGAAGATATACAGATTCTGGAAAGCACTCGTACTCGGTTTTCGTGTATACCCAGATGCACAGACTCGACGTTCGACCTGATAACTCGACGTTTCCAAGCGTCCTTAAGTCAGTTGCTCAATTGTCTTATGTGGGATTCGGGGAATCAGTACATTCTAGTGCAATCAAACTGGGTTTCGGGTCAGATATTTATGCAAACACTTCCCTTGTGTATATGTACTGTGTGTTTCGGAAATGCAAGGATGCTCGCATGCTATTTGATCAAATGCCGGAAAGAAATATGGTTTCATGGAATTCGTTAATCTCGGGTTATTCACATATTGGGAAGTTTAGGGAGGCAATTGATGTGTTCCGAGAAATGTTGGGGAGCAATATTCAGCCAGGTGAGGTTACTATGTCTAGTGTTTTGTGTGCTTGTGCGCATTTGGGAGCTTTGGATGAAGGGAGATTTGTTCATGATTACATAGTAAATAATGGTTTGATGCTGAATGTATATGTTGGCACTGCACTTATTGACATGTACGCTAAATGTGGCGACATTGATGCCGGTGAGAAGGTTTTTCTGGCAATGTCAGTGAAAAATGTGCGCACATGGAATGTCTTGATATCAGGATATGCCATGAATGGAAGAGGCGAGATGGCTCTGAAATCTTTTAATAGGATGATGATGGAAAATTTCAAGCCTGATGGAATGACTTTCTTAGGAGTTTTGTGTGCCTGTTGTCGCAAAGGGTTTGTTGAAGAAGGAAGATGGCTTTTTGCAAGAATGAGAAATGAGTTTGGGTTGCAACCAAAGATTGAGCATTATGGGTGCATGGTTGATCTACTTGGTCGCGGTGGATTCTTGAATGAAGCTTTGGAGACAATTCAATCTATGAATATGCAACCAGACGCTGTTATATGGAGGGCATTACTTTTTGCTTGCAGATTTCATGGACATGTAGAGTTAGGTGATTTCGCAACCCAAAAACTTCTTGAGCTGGAACCACAAAATGCAGATAATTATGTGTTGCTGTCAAATGCTTATGTTCATGATAAAGAGTGGGCCAAAGTAGGAGAAATAAGGAACCTAATGACTAACAGAGGAATCAGAAAGGTCCCTGGTTGGAGCTCAATTGAAATTGAGAATGCGATGCATGTATTTCAGGCATCAGATTCAATTGGTCCAGGATACGAGAATGTTCACACTATGTTAGCAGAAGTCAAAGAAAAGTTAAAATTTGCTGGCTATGAGGCAGACACAAGAATGGTCTTGTATGATGTTGAGGAAGAGGAGAAGGAGCATAATTTGATATATCATAGTGAGAAACTTGCATTAGCATTTGGGCTTCTAAAATCATCAAACAAAACTCTAAGGATAATGAAAAATTTAAGGATTTGCCAGGACTGCCATCACTTCTTTAAGCTTGTTTCTGCAGTTTATGGAAGGAATATTATTGTCAGGGATAGATATCTCTTTCACCATTTTGCTGGAGGTATTTGTTCATGCAAAGATTATTGGTAGCACATTCACTCTGGTTCCTTTGAGGCCTATTTGGTAGAAGAGTAGCTGCTGTAAGGGTGACTAGACATGCAAAGCTCAAGAAAAGATCTTATGTGTTGTTAACGGAACTGCAATCATGGAGACGCTTCTTAGTTACATGTGAATGCTCTTTACATCTGACCATCTATTTTCCTAGAGCTTTCTAAGTCCATCTGTGCACGAGAGATATTATTTTCCATGCTCTATACTTATGACAATTTATTTTCGTAGAGCTTGCTTATGTCTATCTGTGCACGGCAGCTATTATTTTCCAGCGCAATCTGCTCTGTTCCATCACAGCTCGCAAACAGAATTCATGTTACTCTTCACATAAGTTGGCCTATTACTTTATGGGATTGTCTCAAGGATGAAGTATATGGTTTATGTTGTGCAGCTTTTGGGCTGAAAACTATTCAACAACTCAAAATCTTGCCCGATATTCTTGACAGCTGTAGCTCTTTTGTTGGGTACGAATCATGAAGAATATTATTTGTCTGTTGGGCAAACCAGTTTTCTCAGAAGTGCAGATGTTGATAATGTAGCATAAACCTCATGGCAGACTGCCTACAAACTGTAATGCCCTAAGCAACAGATTCCACAGTATGTGTTTTGGCATACTTTGATTGCCATTTCTGTGTATGATTTGCTAAACTGGTGAACAAAGAATGAGTATACAATGGTGATATCAGTTTTGATTTCTCAAAATAATACAATTATTATTTGGAGTTGTTTTTTGGTGAAAAAACAAAACTCTTTACAATAAAAATCAAAAGCAATGTGAACGAAAGATGCAAAGATGATCGCAACATATTTAATAGCGAAAATACATTGTGATCATCAAAGAGAGGTCATTATGAGTCTTCTGTTTTTCTCCCCACTGCAATCTTCTGTTAATGTCACATACGCATGGTACACATACACACGACACACAAAACATTACCACCACATGATTTCAAGTTGAATAGTTGGATCAGTCGTTCCAAAAAAAAAGTTGAATAGCTGGATCAGATACAGTTATCATTCTTATTTATCTGATACAAAGTATATTACTTGTACCAAGGAATATTAATTACATTTGGTGGTATGGACCCCTGGCATTGAGCTCATGATGACATAATTGACAAGTTTAATGTTTGTGTTGCAACTAGTTCTACTCTGCCATGCTTAATAAATGTGGTGACATTGGTGAAGGTCGCCAGGTTTTTGAAGCTTATTGACAGATTATGGAAAATATGTCCACATTAGTTTATTACTTAGTATTTAATATAAAAAATCATATTTTATTTTCTAATGTGAGGATCTGAACATATCTTGCCTTCACTTTTGGAGCTGTACACATGAGAAGATCCCCTCACACAAAACACAGCACAACACTCCTACAAGCATTGAGCCTGGGAGATATAATTACCTTGAGGATTCCATGATAACAAGATGAGTTTATGTAGGAGGAAATCTGAAAGATAAAAGTATCTTTCCTTTATATGGATTGCAAGTTTTCACAAAAACATACCCAAAAATATACCTTGACATATTCTGATTCAGGCTTTGTGTTTCTTCGGTGCATGTGGTCTCATGCAAGACTATTTATGCTTGCACTGTGGCGATGACAGCTTTAGGCAATAAATGCAGTTAATGTATCATGGGTCTAATGGAAGCAATCTGTTTTCTTTCAAGGGTAATGGTGTGTACATCTTGACCCTTAACCCCAATGGAGTTGGGATTATACAAAGTTTGTTGTATCATCATTATTATTAACCATGTTTGAATTGGCCTCCTTGCAAGAAGAAAGGGAAAGGTGGCCTAGATTATCGCTTCCCGAGATCCCAATACCCATTGTGTGGTAGCATCTCGACTGGATACACCTTTTATACAAGGCATGCAAAACCTTAATATTTAAATAAGTAGAAGGTAGATTTCATTGATTAAGTCATATTGATGAATCTTTTGTCACATGCTGTGAAACAGTGGGATTTTCCCTTCTTTTTGGTGCTTGAACAGGAGTATTATATTCCAGAACTTCAGTCTAATATTCGCTTTTAACAGATGGAAAAAAACTAATCTTGCATAAACTGAATGGAGAAGTGCTGCATGTTCTGTTCATTGCATTTACTGTGTATAATCCAGATATTCGAGCTGAGTGAAATGGGGGCTCTGATAAGCTACTTGAAGCATCTCATGATCATCAAATGCATCCCTATATGTCTCCAGGTTGATTTCTGATTTTATCAAAGCTGATATACAAAGCTCCTTCCTCCATTCTTCTAGATGTGGGAATCCAACATAATCTGCATATTTATCACAATACTGCAAGATACACAATTAGGAGCTGCAATTAGTTTAATGATTTGGATGTTTATTTTACACAGTATATTATCAATCATGTAATGGAAATGACTTTAACAACTATTTAAACTAATCATTGTGTCTGATATTTTCATGTAATTGGCAATAACCTATTGCCTATGATCATGACAATTGTAGAATCTCATGTCATTATTCCTTCGTTAGAAGGTTGCTCCGGCATCTGCATAAACTTTTTGTACTACGTTTTGTTTGCATGAATTTATAGGGTTTAACTGATATCAATAAATTGACGCTAAATGTCATGCCACCTACCCCAACTTGTTGGAATTTAAGTGTTATAATGGCAGCGAGGAATTAATTTTCTCGTTTATTTAGAACTGATAAAACTCTTCGTGGGATTCTAATGGGTTGTTGTTGTTGTTAAAACTGATAAAATTGTATTGGAGTGATAGTTAAAGAATAGGTAACTACGAGAATGTAGAAACACACATAGTGTGAATAAAATGACCATATGTGGAAGATAATCATTTACATCAAAATCTGCGAGATCATGGGTGTTATGTTTAGGGATGCCAGCGAGATCTCTAGACTTATAAAACTCCTTGATGGACTGCATCATATCCTCCCATGATGGTAGTGTCCTCTTTCCGGACAGAAGCTGTGCTATCCATATTGCTTGAGACTCAAAGAAAGGGAACCCAATGAGCTATATAAGAATGACAAAAAAAATCAATTAATCTCCTCAAAAGTTTATGAAAATAATCTTAAATATAGCTAATATTGTTCAAGTCATGTTTCTTGTGCTTATGATTAAATTTTTCAGGGAAGTTATATACCTTTCTTGGGATACCTATGAAGGACAGAGAAGGAGCCAGTGAAGGAGGGAATGTGTGCTCATATAGGGGCCCCACTCTGTCATCATCCACTGCAACTATTCCTTTAGTATCAAGAAATGGGAAGGAGTAGGAGTACCTGTCACAAGCATAAATTACCCACATGGATTTTTCATTATACACTGCTTCAGAAAAGGTTACTCCTAAAGCTCTTAATAAGAATGTTGTTTTTCCAATTCTGCCACCTTAGTACCTACTGGGATAATCCCGCGGGAGCAATGGGGTATATCCGTATATCCCTTGTGGGAGTGAGGAAAGGGGAAGGGTGAACCATTAGGACCTCGCCCCATCTGTTTTTTCATGTATACTTATCGTGTGGGTGTACTCAATCAAAATGCATTCCAATCAGAAGATATTGTTTTCAATAAATCAAATTTCTGCATTTTGCTTTTGTGAGATAAATAAGTGCTTTTTATTTAAGTAAAAGTTAAAGTTGGTAGTGTTTGTAAATTTCTATGTTTAAGTATAATTATTTTCTTTAATGCTTTTGAGTAATGACAAATTAAAAGTGCTTAATTTATGAGTAAAAGACATGATTGTCCATAAACTGCACAAGGAAAAAATGCTGTGGGGATAAAAGTAAAACTGTAAAGTTTTCTAAAGTGAGTAAATGATAGAAATTTAAGCATGTAGCCACATGCTTTTGTCTTTAAAAAGTTATTAGTTAAGCACTTAAAGCTAATACCTAACACTAAAAATTTTCAAAAGAACTTCTCAAATGCCATAAGCAGTTTGTATAAAGTTTGAAAACACACCCCAAGTAAGTATATGGTGAAACTATTGCCATGTACTCCTCCATCCCAAAACTAAAGTCCCACTTGGACTTCACACAAATTAAGACAAATTTTAAAGTGTGTTTCACCTTTCAATTCTGCCCTTGAAATGACCCGTGAAGGTGGGAAGTAAAGTGATCAGGAAAAATAGGGATGTTATAGTATTTATATTTTTTTAACCGGGTAACGTAAACCATAAATAGGCAGGAGGTATTTGTCATTGGTTGGTCTTTAGTTCTCCTTTGTAAAGGGCAGGAGGTATATACTAATAGCGTGTATACCCTGTGCAGTATAAGATCGTATCTGCAATAGTGGAGCTGCCGTCTACGAACAAAACCAGCCCATCTTCATGCAATGACTCAATCTGCACTTGCCATTACAATATATTAACAACTTTTCTTTCCATGTTTAGAAACAACTTTTAACTCTTGTTATCTTGTGTGTGTATAGGTTTATATATACACCTGAGGATGAATGTGCAAGGTGGCATGCTTCGAGATCACTTTCGACAAGCCTTCAGAAATGTTATGAGGATTCTTGGCGCTCAAATGAACCTCCTTTGCTACATTTACAAGCTCCATGGATATATCCTGCCCACTCAGTGAGTTCCCAACCACCACAACCACCTGAAAAAAAACATATACAGTAAAAAATTAATACCTCCATACCAAAAAAAATGAGACCAATTTGAATATAATAAAGCCGTTTTCCTCATATTTGGGTAAACCAACAAATAGATTTAACACTATGTTTGGTTCAAAGAATTTAAAAGGGAAATGAAAAGAAAATGAGATGGAAAAAAGTTTTCCTTGTTTGGTTAGAGAGGAAAAGAAAAGAAAAGTGGATGGAAAAGAAAATGAGAAGGCAAAATGTACTAATGGGAGGGAAAACCAAATTCCTCCCATTTTTTGTGAGAAAAATGAGAGAAAATCATTTTGTTTGTTTTCCTTCCTAATTCCTTGAACCAAACATAGCGTAAGAGTATAGTTATAAATTTACTAAAACAAGAAGGTTGAAAATCTGTGAAGCGGGACCTGTTTTGGGAGACAAGGGGATTAGAAAATTTGTATCCTCGTCTCTGAATCAACTTTACACTCACCGTTTTTGTATGTTTAAAAATTATCTTTACACTTCTCCACTTTCCATTCGAGGTAAATATGTGGACAGTTTTAATTAGTTTTCTTCCAAATAAATTTCAACCACATACTTTTCATTTTTCACCCAAAAAAAAACTTTTTCACTTTTCAATATTTTTCATAAAATTTACGAAGTCAATGTATAAAGTTGATTTGGAGACGGAGGGAGTATAAGGTTTGTTTTAAAGTTACACAGAGAAGATCTGGAGTTTGTTTCAAAACACAGCCATACTGAGTAAAGTAGGCCAATTTCCTTGATTGCAATCTAAAGAAACCAAGTAAAATGCAGTAGGTTTTACATTATGTCTGATCTGCTTTCTTTTGAAGGGAAGTAAAGTACATTCCTGAAGTTCTCACTTTTTGGCCACATTAGTACTCATTATGTCTTGTTCTCAATTCATATTGTGAAAAACACTCCAATAATTATTGGGAAACCAATCCAACAGCAATTTTTTTCACATTAGCTCTTATTAATTACCTCGTTGCAAAATGGCTCTGGAACTCTGTAAATATGACTATGCATTTGCTTTCCTCTCCATGCATTCATCCCTTTGATCAGAAGAAAAAAAAAAGTGTAGCATATGTGTGACAGATATAACATTAATTATTTTGTGTCACATTTTATTTGTTGACTAAGAGCCTATCCCTTTTTGCCTTAATTTTAGCCGAATTTCGAAATCTAGAAACTCAAGTCTGAAGTATTGGTAACTGAAATATAAAGTTAGAAAAAACAAGACCTAATGCATGTGTGGGTATAAATTAGTATAGAATAAGTGTAATGTTTGAATGAATGAATGAATAGATTGGCTCGCAAACCTTTAATCTGAGGTAATCTTGGCTGAGAGTAATGACCAGAAGCCACCACCACAGCATCAAAAACTTCTTCAAGAACCTTTGCATCGCTGCCCGTCATCGGTTTGCTTTTCACAACCCATCTAATATCGCTCTCGAGCTCGTGAGTATTATCGTCCATAATCCCAACATACTCAACCCTTGTATTGAACCTTATCATCTCTCTCAACTTGAAAAACTCGCAGAAATCACGTAAGTACGATAGGAGTTCTTCATGGCCTGGAAATCTCCGTTGATCCCTCCCCTTCTTGGTAACAAATGGGAAGTCAGAAAAGCCCATAATCTCTCTCGGAGATATGAGCCTAAGCGACGCATACACGCTACTATGGACCTTCAAGAATTTGGCCCTCCCCAAGGGATCTTCCGCGTGAACTTGGCCGTTGTATAGCCATTGCCCCCCAACATCATGGCTCTGCTCGAAAACCACCACATTGTGTCCTTCCTTCCTTAGCTCTCTCGCTGCCACGAGCCCCGAGGGACCCGCGCCAATAACACATACATTCTTAGACATTTTACTTTCGGAAACCATGGCTAGTCAGATTCAAGTGATAAGAATGTGAGGATATGTCACTCTTGTTTGTTTATGAGTATGGAATGAAAAAAATGTTGGAGAGTTGATGGGGTTTTATTGTTGAAGTATAGTAAGAGGGAAGGAAAAAGTGAATTTTAATTATTATTACGGAGTATGTAAATTTAATATTATTATATTCATATTGAAAGGTAGTTTTCATATTTTTAAAATAATCTATTTGTTCCATAAAAAATTTACGTTTGATTTTCAAGCAGCTAAATAAGTTATTGAAAAAAAGTGTGGTTAGAATTTTTTTAGATAAGTGATAATTATTTTGAATCACATATTCATTTCTAAAATAGGAAATAAGGTATGCACAAAAAATTGAAAATAAGGTAAAGTTCTTTTCGAACGTAAAAAAGTGAAAATGTAAAGTATTTTATTGGACGAAAAGAGTATTTACGTACACAAATTAGAATCACACACTTTTCACTTCATTAAAAATCATGTTAAGTGAAGAAAAACAACAATCCACAAACAAAACCCTAAGTTATTGGTAGTTATTTAACACATTTAATAAAATTTAAAATTTGTAATTGTAAATATAAATGAACAGTGACCTATTCTAGGATAGTGCAACCCCAATTTTCAACAACAATCCACAAACCAAATATAGGATCTCAGTAAGTACCAGGTGCATACTCTACTCTTTGCAAGCAATCTGAGATCAAAATCTAATTTACTTCTTTTCAGTGACCGTCCGATCAGTTTTAAGGGAGACTTCAGAGATGCGGATCATCATTTTAAAAAAATTGTAAATATAAATGAACAGTGACCTATTATAGGATAGTGCAACCACTGCAACCACATTTTTCTCACAAAACGTCCACAGGCATTAGAAAAAGTAAACGTACAAACATTGAAAATTAAGCTGCACTCAAATTTCTACCGGGATGCATTATAAACTAACGTATAGTATCATCATTACAATAGTTTAGCCTAGGGTGGCAATTGGATCAATTCTAGGTTGGATTTTTTCAATTCAGATGTATGTTTTAATCGATTCAGTTCGAATCGATTTGTCTTAATTTTGGTTTGGTTTTGATTCGATTTTCAGTTTCGGTTTGGTTCATATACGATTGGGATAAAAATCAGTTTGGATAGATTTTGATATTGGATACATTTCCGTTTGGATATATTTCGGTTTCAGATATATTTCGATTCAAATATATTTCAGTTTCAAATATATTTCAAATTGGATATATTTTGTTTCAGATATGTTTTGGATATATACTACGGAGTATTTTATATTTAAAAATTAATTATCCGTCTTTCTTTTTTGCGATATTACATTTATCAATCTATCATTAATTCAATACCTCATAATATTTTACATTTTTCTACTTATACTATCTTCAACCTAAATAATCTTTCCTTTCCGAGTTTTTAGTCATATTTTAAGAATTTGGACTATAAATTATTGATTTTGAATCTTATTGGTTTCTGGTACTTTTGATTTTAGGCATTATCGATTTTGAGTATTATCAGTTTCGAGTTTGACCGGTTCAGATCTGATTAGTTTCGAATATACATCGGGTATGAATTATTTAGTTTGGTTCAGATTCGGTTTGGATCATTTTGGGCTTTTGGATACGGATCAAATCTTCACTTTTAAGATCATTTCAATTTCAGTTTTGGATCATTCATTTCATTTAATAACCAGCTTCGGTTCTGATGTGCCAAGTCTAGTTTAGCCTAACCTAAAAAAAATACTCAATAAAAGATAACTCCCCAAACCAAACGTGGAATGCCCACTCCAGGTGCCCCTCCCCTCGTGCCCTTGAGGATGGTGGAAGAATTAAATTGTAGGATGTGTTGCAGGTAACCACAGTCCCAAAGCTTGCCCGCTAATATCGTATACGAGAGAACCGATCCCTCATTGTTGAGAAAGAATCGAACCTCCCACTCCGCAGGTGACATGCACAACATCACTTTGGGCTTTGCCGCTGAGCTAGGTCGCGGGAGAAATATAAAGGCATCTCCAATGCAAGGAGTCTTGAGACTCTTTGTGACTCTTGCAACATCAACGTTTTAGTATTTCAGACTATTCTTCATACTTTTAGAAAAATTACCATATTCCTCAGACTTTTTTAGACTTTCCATATTTTATTAACTTTAATTTTTATTTAATCGGTTACCTAATATATAATTGTACTATGTATTGATTTTTCTACCAAACTTATTTATAAATATAATTAACTATTAAAAAATCAACACACATAAAATATAGTCCCTTCGTCCTAATCTAAATCACGTGTTTTGGTTTACGATGTTTGACTGAAGTTATTTTCAAACTATTTTATATGCAAAATGGTGTAGAATTAAAAAAAATGAAAATTACCTATTTAAAAACTACATCAAAAGATGTACAAAACTAGTAGTGACATGATTATATTATCTTCTCAAATGATTAATAAAAATAGGAAAAGAAGATGAATAAAGTTTGACTCTCTGAATAATAAACATGCAATTTAATTTGGGACGGAGGAAATATATAATAAAATGAGTACAGTTTATTAAAATCATTTAAGTAGTCACACATAAAAATAAAGTGCATAAAATAAAACTAGAAGTAAAACAAAATAAAATTACAAAAGTAGACAAAATCCTATATCCTATATATATATATATATGTAAAAGAGAATTAAATTGTTGTAGTGTTGACATGTGGCATGCCACATGTGCATCCATATGTGCACTCACTAATGATGTGGATATATGAATTTCAATTCATTGGTCCATTTTGATTTTTTTAAAAGATCTTTGAATGCATTTGCATAAAACTTTTTCATTTTTTAGTAATTCTATAAATATATATTTCATCATTGTAAAATATACTCCATATTATATATACAAATTAATTATTTTTAGGATTATTTTTAGGATTAATTATAAATAGGATTATTTTTATACTATCCACAACTTATTTTAGTTTATTACTTTTCAAAAAATGATTATATAAATTTAATCACATATGCATATTTATTAATTAAACAATTTGTTTCAAAAATTTTATTTTATTACATTATTTATTTTATTTTACAAATATTTTTTAACAAAGTGAATAAAATAAAATTGCTTTCGTTGAAGGGTAACAACTGACAAGTGACATTATGACACATATACATTCTCTAATGATGTATCGTT